ATATATATCATAGCCAGGCTTGGTGGCGCACACCTGTAGTCCCAGCACTCGGGAGACTGAGGAAAGAGGATCGCTGTGAATTTGAGACCAGCCTGGACTACATAGTGAGTTCCAGGTCAGTCTCAACTGTATAGTGAGACCCTGTCTCAAAAAAAAACAAAAAAAGCCTATCATTATAATATGGGCCACCATATGAATTCAGATATGAGACATGTAGCATTCCATGAACCACTGCCACCTCCTGAAAGCATGATTACATAGTAGTTGTGTTGTGTGTCAACTCCAAACACACCCTGTTAGCTCCAGTCCCTGCTCTGGCTTCAGATAAATGTTTTACTGGTCCTGCTATTCAGATTTTGAAATGAACAGATCTTTCAAACACAAGAAGTAAACAAGAATTTAAGTATGCCAAATGAAGTTTAACATTTACATAAGTGTCTCTTTTGAGTCTTTTTTCCCCCTAGAAGTTGTTGTTTTAAGAAAATACAAAAAGCTTTTATGGTGATTGTTTTTTAATGGCACTTTGATTGAAAGAAACCAATAAAATGCTGGGTGTAACGTTTTATTTGAAACTTGATTTGGTGTTCCTTAACAAAATTATGCTTCCTAAACTGTGTCAGAATCAAAGGAATTGAGTATTTTGATGCTGTTTTCTAGGGTCCTCATTGAGCGGCTGTTTATGCCATCAGCCCAGTGATAGAACAAATGATGTTTCCGCTTGGGCAAGCTTTGTTTTATCAGGATCAGTAACCTTATCAGCAGTTGACCCATAACTATAATGCACGTTTCTGAATAGATAGCATATGTCACAGCTCTGGGCAGACTTGCTTCATAAGCAAGATTGTCTAATGAAGATTTAATAAATAAGGCAATGTTTCCAGCAAGAAATGTATTTTTTATAATGATAACTTCTCTTAAACTCATTTTACTGCTCATGGATCATCTCTTGCATTTATTCACATAAAAGCCAAAGGAATAAACGTACATCTAAATGCATGCACACAGAATCCCATAATGTATCATTTATCTGTCAATATTTCTTTCTGAAATACATCATTTGTGTGTGAAGAATATAAAATTCAGATTATCATGTTGGTTTAAAGTTCATAAGTGGAACATGAAAATGGCAATGTCTAAAAGATTAGAAAACCCATGTGACAAACAAACTAGCACTTTTATACAGTTATGTATTATTTCTTCTTAGTAATAGAATAATGCAGAAGGTTTTTCTAAATGCACAGTGTCCTGCCTCAAATGTGATCTCCTTTAGTCAGTCAGTAGCTTTTAGTACCCTATAATTTAAAATTGGATTCTTTGCTCATTCTAACCTGCTCTGACATTAGAAGATATAGATGGAATAAATGGAGAAAGACGATAGAACATCCACCTATGCAAATAAGTCATGCATGACTTGTATACTTTGACATTCAATACTTCTTTTCTTTGACCTTTGACAGGTTAGGACTTGACCCAAAACTATTGACTAAAATCCTAAATATGAGTTCAGGACGGTGTTGGTCAAGTGATACTTACAATCCTGTACCAGGAGTGATGGATGGCGTTCCCTCAGCTAATAACTATCAGGGAGGATTTGGAACAACACTCATGGCTAAGGTATGTAACTGCAGAGACTAACCGAGATGGGTAAAACAAGGCTTATTGCTGCAATTTCTGTTATCCTCCTCTTTCTCCAACTCTTCTTTCCTCCCTCTGTACCTCCTGTTGCCCTTCTCCAAAGTATATGTCTATCCTAGAAGGCAAAATTTTTAGAATAGTGACTTACTTTCCCATTAGAATTGAATGAAACCTTAGCTTAGATAAAGATCCTTATCTTGTTCATTTCGTCCCTGGGCTTTGGGATGAGAAAAATGGGCCAGGATTTTTCTTCTGTGCTTTGGTTTGTTCATAATATGAGCCAGAGATTTTTCTTCTTTATCATAAATTTATTTTAATTTATCAACTCTTGAGAGCAGGAGTAGTAAGAATTTTCTGATTTTTTGTTTTGTTTTGTTTTTTTGGTACTGGGGATTGAACTCAGGTCCTTGCGCTTGCAAGGCAGGCCACCGAACCACTGAGCTAAATCTCCGGCCCTTGAATTTTCTGATTGTTAATGAATGCCTTGGCATTGCTCACACACAAAAGGAAAAGGGTCTTATGATTTCTAAATATATCTTCCTGCTGTAAGAGAATATGTGGTTTTATGTACAAATTAGTTAAGTCATTTGAAAAGCAAGTTGGCTGGCTTGTGTTTGTGATCTCCACTGTTCAGACCAGTAGGCTTTCAGATTTCTGCTTTGAGTTCATTCCCCACCAGTTGAATCCCCCCTCCCCCATTACAAAAGCAATAATACATAACCATACGTGGTGTGCTGTCCCTGTTTTCCCACGACATTTGTCCATTCTACTACTTGAAGACACCTTGACTTACATCTATTTCCCTTTCTTCTTCACTGGTACTTTGTGCTCCATTAAAATAGACTACAGGAGTCTACTGGTCTCCATGCCTTTTGCCCTGATCTCCCCCCATTCATTGTCCACACCGCACAAGAGTGGGCTTTCTGAGATGTAAATATCTGTTACTTCTTCTGTAAAGTTCTTTAATAGCTTCTAGTTCCTTGGTAGATTAAAGTCCAGCTCTGCAACTTGACTTTTAAGGCCTGGACGTCACCTACCTCAGTAGACTTGTTTTTTCTTCCCTACTCCCCTTCATTTACTTCAGCCATGCTAAACCACTCTCATTTGAAAACTTTTAAATTTTCTCTTCCCTCTGCTAGGATAATTTTTCCTTGCCACCACCTCTCCTCCATCCTATGACTTCACCCACTAATATCTGCCTGTACCTTTCAGATCCATGGGCAGGCATCTCTTCCTCCAGAAGGTATAAGCCCCTTTACACTGTGCCTCCCTAGCTCCTAGTACCTCCCTTCTCCTCTCAGATTATGCAAATACTTATTTAATTGTCCTTCTTCAACAGGCTGAGTTTGGGTGGACTGTGGCTCTGTTGTTCTTCATTGTATTCTAGCGTCTGACACATTGTTAACACACCTTGAATATTTATTGCATGAAGTAATATTTGAAACTATGTTTCCTATTTTGCAATTTTTCCCCTTCTGTTAAAAAATAGTTTTATTTTATAGCAATCTTACAGACTTCTACAGCTTTGGAAAAAAAATTAATTTCTCTATATAATCCTACCTGTAATAGTAACTTCTATCCAAAAACAAACTGAACGAGTAGGTTTTGTGACAGGTAGGGAAGTGGAGGAGACACCAGAAATCAAAGTTCCTGTTTGGAGCTGGTTTTTTAGCTGTATAAAAGCACTTATAAAAATTTATTAGGGCTGGGGGTGTGGCTGAGTGGTAGAGCACTTAATTAGCTTGTGTAGACCCCTAGGTTTGATCCTAGTACCACAATACAAAAGTAAATAAAAACATAGTGCTGGGCCGGGGATTTAGCTCAGCGGTTCGGTGGCCTGCCTTGCAAGCACAAGGACCCAAGTTCAATCCCCGGTACCAAAAAACAAACATAGTGCTTATGAGAATCTTGTTTTCAGACTCTAATTTTCTGTCTTTGAAACCAAAGTATTAGGAACTATAGTTCCAAAGTGAGCCTTTACCAGTGTATTCCTTCTTGCTCATTTGTTTTAGGATCTGGGATTGGCACAAGATTCTGCCACCAGCACGAAGAGCCCAATCTTTCTGGGCAGTGTGGCCCATCAGATCTACAGGGTGATGTGTGCAAAGGGCTACTCAAAGAAAGACTTCTCAGCTGTGTTCCAGTTTCTACGAGAGGAGGAGAACTTCTGAGCGTGCCCCTTGGCATGGACATTGTTGGAACAAACTCTTCCGTGGAGCATCCTTCTAGCTCACTGCACAAGTAAATAGGTTTAATCAAGGTCATCTCTCTGCTTTCGATTGTCTATGTTACAGAAATCCCTAGGATTTCTCACCCATGTTCTTTTTGTGTGTTTAGCAAACATCTGAAAAAAATTTTTTTTTCTGCAAGCCATTGAGGGTTTTTGCTAACTGAATTGACCTTTCTAAGAAATACGATCATTGAGTATCTTTGAATAAATAATCCTATACTTCAATCAGGATATTATTTACTCTGCTTTACAAATAAAACCAAATATTTTGTCAACAAGATGAAATCCATCTTAAAGAAAAGCCACTGTGAGGAGAATTAGAGAAAGGAAGTATAGTGAATTATTACCTATATTCCTTGGGAAGTTGGTGCTGTTAACTAAGTGGTTCTAAAGTTAATGATTTTTCAGGAAATTGATAAAACAATCCCTGCACATTTTATAATTTGGACTCTGTTACAGTATCATAGTGTATCCCTCTTGTTACAATTCCCAGTACTCAACAGACTTATTTCTATATTTTTTGCTTCCTTGTACATTCTTACTACATATTTTTGACTTCAAAAGAACATCTTAAGACTGTTTCAGAGCCAATGAAGATATTTGCTTTAGATAATTGTATTATTCTAAATATAACCATATTATTTTGAATTAAAATAAATTTCTATGCTGATATTTTCTTGAGTTTTTGTTTCTTCTCAAACACACTGTTGGAAAAAAGAAGGGAAAAGGGAGGGGAGATGAAAAGAAATAGAGGTAGGAGTTGGCCAGTGGAAAACCAGCATCCTGCTGCCCTGCTTAGTGTTCAAAGGGCTGACTGATTGAATGTGTTATAGGAATTCAGCCCACATTAAGGAAATAGGTTCCAATGTGAAGAATATGCCCGAAGAAACATGTGAGTAATAGACACCAAATTGGCAGAAGTACTACTACTTCCATCATTTTCTTGGAGATAAAAAATTCCAGGCACTTTTATAAAGTGTTAGGGATATAGTTAGGGATACGGTTACAAACAAGACAAAATCCTGCCCTTGTAGAGCAAGGATTCTGGTCTTCAGGTGTCTCGTAGCAGGATGTGTATGTGGGGGGATATAACAATCACAAGATATGATAATAAGTGTGAAAAATAATAAAGCAAGAAAAAGGGCACAGATGGGAGAGAGGCAAGGATATTTCTTAGAGTGGTAAGAGAAGTTCTTTCTGATAAGGTGGCAAAGATGAGCAGAGAGAAAGGAGTCAGGGAATGCGTGATACAGATGTCTGAGGAAAAAGCATTCCAAGAATTAGGGAAGAAAATATAAAGGCCCTGAGGTAGAATTGATGTTGGATATGAGAAATAAAAGGAAGCTGTGAGTAAAAGGGCACAGGATGAGGGGAACTTGATCAGGTAAGGCCATAGATATTTTAGTCTATTGGCTTTTATTCTAAGTGAAATGAGCAGTGAGTCAGCTTTTGCTAGGTAACAAACCACCCCAGTATTGAGTGGGTTAAAAAAGCAAATTTACTTTTCAAGATTCTTTAGGATGGTTGTATTGTTCTTCTAGATGGGCCAATTCATCTGGACCTAGAGAGTTTCCCTCAGCCAGGACACCTGGAATGGTTATGGGGTCTCCATGTGGTCAGTCATCCTCCTGGAGGCTACCTAAGTATGTTTATGATGGCACAAGTGTTCCCTATAAGAACAGAGAACAAGCCATGATGAAGCTATTTTCAGCTCTCTGCTGGATTCATATTTGTATTTTCTTGTTAGCCAAAGGAAGTCCCAGTGTCAGGGTAGGAGGGGACTTCATGAGAGAGTGGACACAGTCATGGGGCACTCGTGTTGTTTTGCAAACAACCTACCACAGTTTGTGAAGTGTTTTGCTCAGAGCTACTTTTTTTAAAAGGCTCATGCTGGATACTGAATAGAGAATGGAGTGTAGGGGTACATCAGGGAAGCAGGGGGGCCAGTTAGGAGACTACTGTACTAAGCCAGATGAGAGAGAGTAGTGGTGAGGACCACAGTTTTCCAGCGATGTGGGAGAGAAGTGGTCAGCTTCTGATCATAAAAGATGGAGCCATTAACTAATGAATGGAGTCACGGAGAAAGGGAGGAGTCAAGGAAGACAGTTTGGAGCCTGAGAAAGTAGAAGAAAGGAGCGCCCTTTACTGTGGAAGGATTATGTGAGGTGTAAGAGCAAAACAAACAAACAAAACAAGTTTGCTTGAAATGCTTAATGTACATCTTTAAGTAGAGAAGAATTAAGGGTCCCAGGACCAAGCCCATTGTTAACTCTTAATGGTTAGGAAACTGAGGAGTGACAAGTAAAAGCGTAGGAACAGTGTCCTGGGAGCCATATTTGTGATGATGAGCATGTGAACGTATTGGAGCCCTCACACATTACTGTTGAGCAGGCAAAATGGTGCTGCCGCTTTGAAAATGGTTTGGAGTTCCTCAGACTGTTAAACATAGAATTATTACGTGACCCAGCAATTCTACTCCTAGCTGTATGCCACCCAAAAGTGAAAATATCCATACAAGAACTTACACATGAGTGTTCGTAGCCATATTGTTCATAATAACAAAAAAGTATAAATGATCCCATGTATCCCTCAACCGATGATTAGAAAAACTGGTCTATCCACAGAGTGGAAGGTTATTTGACCATAAAAAGGAACAAAGTACTGTTACATGCTACAACATGGATGAACATTGAAAGTATGCCATCTGACAGAAGCTAAAAACAAAACCAAAAGCCATACAGTCTCCTTACATGAGGTGTTAACAAAGCAAATCCACAGGAGTCTGTGGTAAATTAGTGGCTGGGAGGGGAAATAGGGAGTGACTGCTAATGGATATGGAGTTTATTTTAGAGGTGATGAAAATGTATTGATGGTCTCATAACTTTGTGAATGTATTTCAGAATTGTATATGCATACAAAGGGGAAAATCATGAGTAAAGATCTGTCTTTTTTTATAAGTGGTTCTCAGTTGGGGCTGTCCCTCTGCCCAGGAAGGATATGTGGAAATGTCGGGAGACATTTTTGGTTGTCACACTCTGTTGGAATTTAGTGGACAGAGGCCAAGGAAGCTACTAACCATCCTACAATACAAGGCAAAACCCACAACAACTATTATCCTGCCCAAAATGTTCATAATGCATAATTCAAGAAATCCTTCTCAAGGGTTCTACAACAACCTGAAACCTGCTGTGAAAACCTCAGTCTGTCTTCGCCAACAGACCTGCTTCTCCTGCTCCCACATTCCTAGGAATATCCTCTGACTTCCTTTACCCCCTCTCTATGGCTCATTCTAAATTTCTAGCACTTAACTGAGTTTCCTTACCTTCTTTTCTATGATACTTTAATATATTTACAATTACTCTTACTTATTTTTTAGCAGCCTTATTGAGGTACAATTTACATAAAATTTTCTCCTTATACACAATTTGATGGCTTTTGGTGTAGGGAACAGGGAAAGGGAATGTTTTCGAGAGCCCCTGCAGTGAGTCCTCGTCTCTTGTGAGCCACAACAGCACAAGGCAAATTAATGTATAAAGACAGGAAATGAGACTTAGAGAAGAAGCTAAGCTTTGGGCCTGATCAATGCTTGTTTGGGCAGCAAAGATGAAGGCACCACAAGCTTGCCACACCTTTATCAGGAGTAACACATGACTCAGAAGGCTGCAATAATCTTAGGGTGATGAGGAACTTACGCTGATGAAGATCTTAGGTTGATGAATTTATGTTGATTAGGAATTTGTCCCTCCCCAGATGAAACCTTTCTCTTACTACTCTGTTCTCAAAGGAACCAGCATGTCTTCATCTGAAGAACTCCTGGCCCAGAGTGTCACAGCATCACAGGACCATTGAGGTTTTAGCTGTGACCAGAGACTAATACAGAGTTCTGTCTCATCATGTTGTAGCTGACCTTTGGGGAGGAAAACAAAGCCTAATCATTATTAAATCATGAAATGATTTCTCCCCAAAATTATGTGGAATTGCTTCTGATATTTTAGTAAGTTTAAAATTATGGGGCCAGGGATTTAGCTCAGTGGTTTCAGTGCCTGCCTTGCAAATGTAAGGTCCTGAGTTCAATTCCCCATACCCCCCCAAAAAAATTATACAACCATCCCTGCAGTCTTGTTTTAGAACATTGCCGGCATCCCCTTAAAATCCCCTGGGTTCATTTGCAGTCATTTCCTATTCTTCCCCTTTGCCTTCCAGCCCTTCCAGATTTAATGGACAACCATTAAATCCTTTGGTCTCTAGATTCATAGCTGCCTCTTGGCTACCAATCTGGTTCTTGCCCAGTTCATCCTTCACAGTGCTTGGGAACAGGCCAGTCTGAGACTAAAATCTAATTCAGTCCTTCCCCTATTTAAAATCCTTGAGTCTAGAATGCAGTCTGAACTCTACGCATAATGTTTAAATCCTTTTGTGCTCTAGCTTCTATTTTACTCCACCAGCACAGTTACCTATGGTACTCTACTTGCCACTTCCCAAACCTGCCATGCTTCTCACACCCAATTTCCTTTACACATGCCGTGTCCGTAACCTGAAATGCCTTTCACCTCCCCTCCTGGCTGACGGGCACAGGCTTGAGGCTGAGTCATTTCCCCTCTGCTTTCATGGCTCCTTGCTGAGCGCTCTCTCACTGGAGGACTTAGCCTCTTACATTGGCTGCTTTACTCATCTGTCTTCCATACCAGAGTCTGAACAAGTTGAGGGCACAGAATGTGTCACATCAGTTTTGAGTACCCATGTTGATTCAGTGCCTATTTTTGCGTAAGAGCATAAATAGAACATATGAATGAATAGAAGCTACAGTGTTACATTCATGTTGTTATCTCTACATAAACTTAAAGATTCTTGTGTACCAGACCAACTTTTATTTACTTAGGGTTATAAATGCGATTTGTTTTAGCTACCCCAAAAGTCTTGCAGAATGTGGATCTCTTCCACAATTTTTAGTAAAAAGTTCAGTTTATGCTGTTAGAACTGACTGAAAAAAGTTCTGGAGGAGGAAAGGAAC